CATCACCTGCAGACAACCGCGCTTTGTATGAGACGAATGTATTTTCCTCAAAGCAGTTCAAAATTGTTTTTGTATTTCTTAGCTTTTAGAAGCTTTTCCTTTTTGAACATCCTAAATCTATATATTCTTGTTAAAAAAAATCAGATAATTGGTCTGGAAAATGTAGCACTCCCTATCTCAACTTTATCACCTCTGCATCCATAGTAAAACAAATTGTTTACAGTATTTAATGCTTTTGCTTTCACTTTAGTATCTATCTCTGTGACTGTGCAATGCTGTTATTTTTACTTAAGTGAAGGGAGAAGCCAGCATATATATATAGTCTTATTCATTTACTAATATTTGTATTCCATTCTAAAGACTGAGCCTGTAAAACTGATAGTATCACCATAAAATTTGGTAATGATTATAATAGCATTCAATACATAATAATAAAAACTCAAAAATAATGTTACATAATGGTTTAAAACGAAGCCCATTCATTGCTCTCAACTCTGAGAAACGACAGGAGCATTGGGCCATACTAATAGTTAATTTTTAGTGTGTGTTGAATGACCCACATAGCTGTCATGTTTTGTTGTTTACCTTCATGTATATACTTCAATAGGAAGACTTAAAAATTAAATAGGAGTTTCATCTGGGAATGTACTCCTAAGTATACACAAAACTAGAATGCATTTTACAGCAGAGGTGTCCACTGAAGAGTTAAGAGGGGACAAATGATAAAAGCAGTGGTGTGCCATCATGATGCATGCTTCAACATTTTCATGTGTGGATTATGATGTTGCATGCACATACAAACAGGTTAGAGCTTAAGATTCAGCCCAGTTATTGTCATTTTGACAAAATTCTTTGATCCTGCAGATTACTCTATTTTACAGTATGTAGGGAATGATTTCTACACTGAAATGAAGAGAGTTATCTTGAGACCCACCTTAAAATGTGGGATTACATTGTAACCCCATCTTGGCCTACTTGGTAATCATATACTATGTAAACTAGGATAAATATACATAGCTCACAGTCAATTTCCAAAGAAAAATAACTTTAAATAATCAGGTGCATTGAATATAGTTTATTTTGTCATATGTATGAGGAAGCTACATGTGGTTGATGAGGATACAGTACTGTAGTGGTTATACCAAGTGGTCATATATGCATGATGTTTTACATGGTAGAAGCACTGTGTAGAAAACCTTGTTTTGTTTCACTGATTATGGTGAAGAATTTTCCATAATCAGCACTGCAGTATTTCTATTACATAGAAATAAATGAGCAGACATGTATTAACTTAATGGTACAGAACTAGGCTCCAAGGCAACTTAATTTTATAGCCTTAGAGGTATTAAAACTGCTAATAAGTATTTTTACAACCAGCACGTTTCTAAAATGAGACAATTGTTTTATAAAAGGTGTATAACAAGGCTTTGTTCAAGATTCCCAATATAATTCACTTATAGGAATTACTAATAGTGAGTAATACATATTGGGCAACTGAATTCATGAAGTTGACAAAAAAAATTCCCTTCTCACCCCAATGGGTGGTATGTGTCTTCCTCATATATATATATATATATATATATATATATATATAGAGAGAGAGAGAGAGAGAGAGAGAGAGAGAGAGAGAGAGAGAGAGATGGAATGAATATATTCATTCAAGACTAGTGTCAGCATCTGGAATCCTTGAGCAATTTATAGATCCCCAGTGCTCTGACAGTACATTCTTATGTCCCCTCTAGGGCTCCTTAAATATTATTTCTAGCCCAGCATTCTGAGTACTATCATGAGCTTCAGTTTAACAATTTTTTCCATTTCCCACATGTCTTCACTTCAACATTATTTGGGGGCATTTCAAGAAATTAAAAATGGTTACTAGGTAGAGCTATCCAATGCCATAGAATTTCTATCTATTTGAAAACAGGATCGATACAATATGAAGCAAATACAGTTGCTTAAATATCTTATTCAAAATGTGGGAAGCACCTTCCTTGTAAAGGTGAGCAAAAACAAATGGAGATTGCACCAAGTTGATTTTCCAGCTCTTGCTTGGAATTCATACTTATTTGCAGATTGTGTAAGGCTAAATGAATTTCAGAGTTAAAAAGTGACAGAACTGTTTCAGTTGAGGCAGCTATAAAAACAAATGAATAAAGGTGTTCCTTTGATGGCAGTGCTTATAAAAAAGGAAGGGCTACTAGTAGGCTAGATTAGGTGGTTTGGTTCTGTGTACTTTCATGAAGGATGAAATGATGTTGCTTCCTAAGTCCTGCTGGTTTGGCAAGCATGTGAGCGGGGAAACCTTCCTTTTTTTTATTCTCTGCAGTTTTCAATTAATGTTGCCTCCCACCGTTTTCAAAAACTGAGAAATAATCTGTGATCATGAAAGTTACCAATCCTGGGGCTTCACCTCAGATTAGGGGCTTTACATCTAACTGACACAAATCTACCCCATCATTCAACATTTAGATCCTACAATCTATATCTGCTAATATGGACATTTTCAGAAGTATTATAGTAGCGTCCAAAAGGTGATTATTGACATTAATCAATGACTGGAAACCTCTTCCAGACTTTTTGTGTAAAAAAGAAAATGATTTTGTGGCTTATGGTTTTGATGATTAGAAAAAATAGGTTATAGAAAGAAGGGAATAATGATGTAATCTTAAGAAAGAGAGGTTTGATTAGAATTTTATGTATAACTGCCAAGAGGAAGATCAGAAGCCATTTCTTTATATTTCTTTTCATGTTTTCTGTTCTTTTATTTTCTTTCTTTTTTCTATCTCCTTTTCTCTTTCACGTTTACTATATCTTTTTCTTTGAATGTATTTATTATATATGTAAAATCTTTTAATAAAAACTATTTTAAAAAAACATCCTCCAAGACAGATGTGCCCTCATTCTATCGAATCTTCCTCTCTACTGGCAAAGATGCACATATGGCACATTTAACTCTTCTCATTGCCTTCTGAGAGGCCTATGATTTCTCTGTACTGTTGTTATATAATCCTCAATAAAATTATAAACCTTGGTGAAGTATTTTTATCCTGACCTTAATATAATTATATCCCAAGATAATACACAATAAAGTACAATTACATAATAAAATATAAAACACAATTGAAGAACATTTTCCAGTTCATCACAATTTCATCATAATAGAGAACATTTTATATAGTTTATAAACAAGGTTATGTAAATCCTACATAACATTTTATATTGAATATTATGATTATATTTCAAACCCAGTACATAAAGGTGCTTTGGACTTTTTAAAATATTACATTTCATGGAAAAAAACTTTTCTAATAACAAGCAAAAATGAAATTTAGTAACTCATATAATAGGGACACATCCCATGATATTAAAGAGTGATACAAAATCAGAATGGCAGGTAAGGATAGCCCTGGTTGCCTTTTGTAGTATTTTTAAGTTACTTTATACAGACTTTGCTTTATCCTGCATGTTTTGCTTTTCCATTGTAATAAGAGAAATCAGCCAATAAATTAGTTGCATCAAGTGGTTTTATTCAGCTTTGGTAGTACAGAATAAGTATAGAATAATTTTGGAATTTACCATTGCCAGAATTGTAACAGAAGATTTCTATATTATTGGGCAGCTATAGCATAGGACTTAAGAGTAGAAAGCTATAGAACTAAGGCTGGCTAAATCTACCAGGGCCTTAAGTTCCACAATTTAACTGTCATCTGCCTTAAAATGAGTCATTGCAAAAGCAATACTACAATATATTTAAAAGAGGCAAGCCACCAAATGCAAATATCGAAGCAGCAACAAGTGAAGATTAATGGGCTTAGATGGGTGAAGAGTGTTGGAAGGCTTTTTCTGGAGGCTTTTGAAATGTAAGGGGAAATATCTTTTTGCCATAAGGTAAAACAACCTTCAAATGCTTTGATCACATGACTAACATTTTTTTTAAAGCTATTTTTAAAAATAGACTGGGAGAAACTTCCTTTGTTTTGCACTGTTAGAATTGTACAAGATTTGTGTATGAGAAAATTCTATCCTTTCTCTACACATGTCAGTAAAGTAGGATTTCTGAATCAACAAGTATAGTTTGCAAATGTAGTTTTTTTCCTACATTAATGAACAAGCTCACAAAGGTACGGTTATTGATAGAAAGATGGCACTTGGCTGAGTAGCAGTTTGAATATTGGAAAATAAGTAACTATTGATCCACAATGCAGAGACCATCTTAATAGCTGAGGGAAAAAGTTTAAAGATGTCAACCAAAAGAAACAGTTAAGAAATGGTTTATTAATAAGGCAGCCTATTATAAGCCCAACACAGAATGGGGAGGAAAATGGCTCAAAAAGCTGTTTGCTTAGTATATGCACTACAATTAACTATTAATAGTTAACAACTATTAAGTATTCATGGAACAGCAAAGTTTATTAAGAAACTTCCCTTGCTGTTTCTACATATTTAAACTAATGCCTAGAACACAAGAAGCAGTATTACTGAAAAATGTGCAATTTAGTGTTGTTAATTATATGTATAATGTGTACTATATAGTACTCCCTTTACTGGAACTACAGAATGTAGGAGTTAAATAGGAGAAACTTTACTTACCTTAGTTTGTAGTTATCAGAGCTAAGCTTTAGGCAGTTTGAATACTGGACACTTTATATCTGTAGTCCTTCCAATAACCTCCATGTGAACAAACAAGAATTCAAGATAAAATTGTTGGTGGTAATTATGCAGCCAGGGAAAAAAAAAACCTTTGTAAAATGCCTCATTCCAAGACTTATTCCTGATTGATTGATTGAATTTATGGTCAACGGAAAAAAAAAACAGGTACAATATAAAACAATAAACCAAGTAAGGGATTAACATATTTAGGGAGATAGGGTTAATAGCAAACATTAAAAATTAATGACCTTCTAGGCTCAACATAAGTAATTAACCTTTCAAGGCTAGGTGTAATTCAGACCCAGCTCCTTCTGACAGATTTTTTTTTTACAAAACCTTATTGGATGAATCAGCTAGTAGAAATCTTGCAACTCCTTTTTCAGGCCAACTTACACATTTAGTAAAGGGGGAATAGAGCATGATGTGTGGTAGAAAGGGCAGCACAGAAAGATATGTGAGACCATGTTGATAGCTTCATGTGAGCATGAACAAAGGTGCTTTGAATGCGAGATGTTACTGAACCTTCTAACATCCTTCAGGGTAAGGCACTTAAATTGTAAACAACCTCTATTTCTGGGGGTCAGGCTAAGAGGTCTCAATAGGACAAATCAAAGGCTAGAAAAAATAAATTTAACAGCAAGAATGAACTGGGTCATGGATTCAGTAATACCAGAAAGGTTAGCACTTTGCTGCTAATGAGTCTGTAGCATTGGAAGCCTTTTGGGCAGATACTGTAATTTCTGAATTTGTTTCCAAGTGATGGATGATTACTGATAGATTCTTACTTTTTGGAAAACTTTAATCTGCTCAGTTTAAATGCCATTGAACTCCCAGTTATTTTGGTAGTGTGTGTGTGTGTGTCTTAGTGAATAAGAGCATCTTCATTTTAGGATAATTTCTTGTTTTCCTGTAATGATAGCCTGTTGCTACACCCTAAAGGCTCTGTCGAAGGCCAACCTCAGGTAAAGAATGATGGCATAGACAGTATAAAGGTGAATATAAATAGGTTTGTTCTAATGATGGAATTAGTGCAAAAAATAAGGAAAGAGATACATCCCTGTTTGACTGGCTTGAGAATGAGGACTGGTGCAGAAAGATGACAGTTGGCAGGTTATTTAACCTGCACATGGATATTGTTAGAGAACGTTATAGATGCAACTGTCAGTTCCTTCCCTAGGGATTGAGTCAGATCAGTGAAGATGTCACAGAGTTTTTCACAGTTGACTGAAATATATATTGACCAGATGATGTTACATTGATCAAACCAGATCTAAAACCAGCATGCTCCTCAGATCGCATATTTGCTTGGATTGTCCAATTGATGAATTCATCATAAAGGTGCCTGGCATACAATTTACTTAAAATACTTAATAAGCTAATTGACCAGAAATTAGCTGGACTGAACTTACCTCCATTTTAAAAGATTAGTATTTTTTTACAATTTACCCCACTCTTTGGGTATCTGTAAGGAATACTCAATACTGTATGTATGAACGACTAAGGATATCAGTACCAGAGCCCACCATTCAGAATTTAATTTTAGAATTTCTGCAAATTATTCTCAGATATTTCAGCAGAAATCCTTTCTAAATAACAGAAAGCTGCAAGGAAAAAAAGTTCTTCTGCTAGGGAAAAACAAGACTATTATACTTTACTACATACGGAAGGCTAAAATGAAGCTGGCCTTTGGCTCCCATAAAATATTAATCAGTCAATTAATCAACTACGCTTGGCAAAATAGAGTAGTGTTTCTCAACTTCGGCAACTTTAAGATGCACGGACTTCATTTCCCAGGATTCCCAGCCAACGTGCTAGGGAATGGATAATGTAGATGGATGGAATCATAGATATTACTAGAATGATCTTGGAAGAAGAGCAGATTGATTTGATAGAACATAACTAATTATTTTTATGTTGTTTCTTATATTATTTGGTTAATACATACACCTTTGTTATTTACTACTAATTTGGTTATGTTTCAGGTGTTTTGTTTTTTTAACAAAGTATGACAAGCAATACACAAGATACTCTATGAAGATATTGATATCCTATCCCCACCCTCTTATGGGAGAAAGAGAGATACAACATACTCATGTGCTGAAAATCCTAAGCACAGTAAAACATGATTAAATAATATCATGTATACAACCGAGACTTCTCTATCCAACAGAGCTACACATAGTAAAACACAAACTTTCCAGAGATTGTGCTAGCTGTTCAACTGAAAATATGATCTCCAACTTTACTTCCTCATCTATAAAATTATTAAGGATTAAAATAGCTGTATCTAAGTAGTATTTATAGTGTAAATGTTAGGAATAAAGATCAAGCATATGCATAAATGATGTACTATTAGTGCTGAATAAGAATCCATATGTATATAGAAATTAATTGGATCAACTCCCATAATATCCATCTACCACATTACAGGAATTGATGACACTAAATTAGGAAATAATGATAAACATTTTTAGAGAATGAACTCATCATATAGGGTACTGACACAAAAGAGACAGAAAAATACAGGATTCAAGTAAGTTTATTTTATTAAACATTTCGTATGGTTAGCTGTCAGAAACAGGACGAAAACAAGCTAAGGACATCAAGCTAATGGAACACCAACTTCAAGCATCTTGGAAGGATGAGAAAATTGCCTGTATATTATTATTAATATTCTTCCACCAAAGTTACAAACCCAAGGCAAGGATTATAAATAAATAAAAATACTTTAAAAATGACAGTAAAATATAAAAATTTAGTACATTACAAGATTCATATCAGTATCAGTCAGCTCTGTGGTGGATGGGGATAATCCAACTGCAGGTTCTAGGTTCTTTTTTGTTGTTTCAGTCATCTCCTAGTCTTCTCCCAGAACATTGTTTTGACCCAGTAGATCCGGGATAAGGCATCTCTTGCCCACCAAATGTTGCTAAATAGCCAATGGTAGAAGTTTATGGAAGTTATAGTTCAGCAAGATCTGGAGGATCACAAGTTCCTTTTCCCTGCTGATAATTGAATCCAGAAAACAACTAAATTTCTTTACTATAATTAACATTGTTAATGTTAGAGAAGGTAATAAGTTACTGAAATTGTTTGTACTTGTCTTGATGAAGGTGGAAGTCACTTTTTTATATACCTTTTTCTTTTTTATTTTGCCCCTTCCACCTTTTTTTTCTCTCTGCACTTTTTTTTTGGTATTTTTCTTAGTTTGTATTAGTTTTCTTTTATCTTTGCATTTTTAAACTTAAATAAAAATTATTTCAAAAATCATTTCAAAATTAGCAACATACTACTTGATGGGATAGCAATCCTTTTCTCCTAGGTCAAGTATTCTTAATTCTTTTACTTTTAGATTTTGTAGTTATTTTCCTTTCTAGCATTATTCCATTTTTTTAATTTTTGAAGGGAAACTTTTTAGATGTTTAAGAAAAACATGCAACTAAGAAAGTGAATTATAGACACAAAAAATGATAATATATTCAATACATTTAAAGTTGTAAGATTCTTTGTTCTTTCAGCTGAACAAGTCTTTCAATCACTCCTATGATGGAGTCTTATTGAATTAGCTCTGTGAGGAATTTGTTTGCTTTATTTTATTTTCTATACCCTCCATATTTCAAAGGCAGAGCTGCTTGGCTGACAAGGAAGGGTAGAAAATTATAGAAGGGTATTAACTTGTACACACATTTTGGATCAAGTATATATTTTTCTTCTGTCTTTGTAATTCTGTAATCTTTTGACTAATGAGTAACAGTGTCTGGTTTCTTTTCAAATAAGAATTTCTAAGACGGCCAACTTTCTGAAAAGAATAGCTTTCTTTAAATAAGAGGGAAAGATAAAATTTACCACATCGTATTACTCATTCCAGGATAAAAATGTTTCTCAGCAAGATTTTATAATAAAAGGCAGGCAAATACTCACTTAACTAGTCAATCTTTTTGGGGAAAAAAGTGCTAAACAGCTATAGTCTTTAACTTCTACTTAGGAAATTAATACTGGAGGTGGGGATCCAATGTGACGTTGAAGCAGCAATATTAAACAAGTAACTTCCTTGTCTTCATCTGTGGACGAATTCTTTTTTTTTTTTTTTGTACAGAAAATACAGATCCTGACCACTGGAGCATGGTGGCTTCAGAATTCACTTTCACATCTAGTGCAGGAAATCCTTAAAAACTAGGAGTTTTTGTTTTTACTCTTTAGACTGCACAATCTTTGAAAAAACTTTTCACTGGTTAATATATTAAGATGTGGGGGGACAGGTTGGTTTTTTTTTTTTTTTTTTTTGGTTTTATAAACTCTCAATTATGTAATTGACTTACCTTCCACAGAGAAATGAATATTTAAAATAGAAAGTCTGCCCACTGAACTGAGTGGATTTTTTTTTTAACTCGTAAGATCATCCTATAAATTCACTCAAAAACATAGTTGATAGGATTTAGTTTACAGCATTTCCATTTAAGTTCATTTCTCTTTAATTTTTCTCCTCCATAATAGAAATGGAAGCAGAAAATACCAAAACTCAAAAAGTAGTTTTAAATCTGCATTTTTCTAAGTATGTCAGCTCCTCAGTTAAACTAGTTAATTATTGAATACTTTTTGAAACAACTAGCTTCTAGCTGGGGCCTGGAGGACAATCCTACTATCAGCAGCAGTTTCTTTACAAGGTCAAACATTGAAGATTACTGGAGATGTCAGACACTATTTTAAAGTAACTTTTAACTGCAAAACTCTAATGAATCAAAATTAATACTGCAGAACTAAATGGAGATCTGTTTTTATTTTTCTCTCAAAGTACTGAAGTTTCCCTTATAAGAATGAGTCTTTTATCTTTTAACTTTTTCACCATCATTTAATTATACTGCTGGGCAGAAATGCCAGCATCAAATTGGAATAGCTGTACCTACTGGCATGCAAGTTAAATATTATTCAAGCATTTACCCAAAAGCAGTTGAAAACTATTTCAGGTATTGTTGAAAAACACCTTGAAAATCTTCCACATACCAGAGTCCTCAAAAGTTCATAAAAAATAACTTTGTTGAAATAAATATTATGAATTAGAAGTTGTTGAAGTATGTTATTTATTTGACTGGCACTGCCCCTCCAAACCGAGTCTGGGTGGCTTTTTGTGTGGGTTTCTATTGTTAATTACTATTAAAAGAAATTACAACAATTGTTCTAAGGCTCTCCATGTGGCCTTTTAATATCCAAATGTTATTTTTAGTACAAATCTAAATGTGTCTATTCAGAACTAAGCTTAATTCACATGGTATATTGCAGCCCCAGATGTTAAGAATCAAGTCTGAATTCAGACTCAGTCATTCATATGTCTGTTTGTACGGTGTGAGGAAAAAAGCTAATATCTTTCAGTAGGCCAAAAGTTACATTAACATAAAGACTAACCATATACAATATTTCCTTTGATCATTAATAGCTATTAAAATGTGTTTGTTTTATTAATAAGGCTATGTAATTAGGCCCCGGCCTAATTTCCATTTACAACAGAACTTGCAAACTATGCTATTTGTCTAGCCGCAAAATGGTCAATATTAAGTTCAATAGCTAAAGTAACAGTTCTGCAAACCAGCATATAAGCTTTGGAGAAATGTAGCTTGAAGTAAACAAATCTTTATTTTGTAATCTAGTACAGCAGACATGATTATACAGTTACAATAATCATAATTAGATTCTTCAGTAAAAATAAATATGTAATCTCTACATGAACCTGGAGATTGATCACAAAAAGTCATTACTATAATTGTGCAGTGCAACCCCAAGCCTGTTTGCTCAGAATAAATATCTATTGAACTCGGTGGGACTTATTCCTTAAGTATGTTTAGGATATCTGCCTAAATTAAAGTATGTACAATCTGTCTGAATATAAAACCCTAGTTTCCCATTTGATACAACTGTTAAAATGAATAAACTATAAATTATCAATGGCACTTATTTTAGGTTTATATTTAAATTTATATATGCCTACTCTATCAGGAAACCTTTCCCATACAAGCCATGGAAAATATGCCTTCACATCGACACTATTTCCCTTCTCTAGTATGTATCTTTGTAGTCTGTATTTTACAAAATGGAAATCCATCATTTCTCCCATGTCTCACATTCAGAACAGCAATTTGTAGCAATGCCTACGAGGCCTTTTCTAAGTTTTCCCAACCACATAAGAATAATTTTCTTGTGAACAGCTCTCTAGGTAGGCCCAAGAGCATTCAAACACCATCATGATGACACATAGTCCTACTCCACCTGTAAGAACTCCATAATAAAACTGAATAGGTAGGGTTGGAATTAAAAGCTGTACAAATATACTAAATGTGAAAAATGAGGAAATACACAAGTAGAACATACTTTACAAAGGAAAACAAAATCAGTAGCATTTGCAAAAAAGAATCCTATGATATACAGTATTGAAACATGATTCTCAGCTTTGAATCTTCAGCAAAATATAACTTTTTTTTTTTTACCAACAACAAGAAGTACAGACATACTTTTCAGAAAAATCATGTCAGATCATTCAAAATCCATATTGAGGCATGACCTCTGGTACAGAAGGTTACACAGTGAAGAAATATATCCACAGATATATATTTCACCTAATTTAAAGGAATGTAATAATTCCATCTAGTTATGAATATGTTACTGGGAATCCAAAGTCCATGCATACTCATTTTTGAACAAATGCTAAAAGGAAAAGTCTTTCATTTACAATCATTAAGTCTTGAATTGTTTATACTTACAAGGTAATAGTTGGCCTTTCAGTTTGGGCTCATTCGGAAATAAGAAAGCATGATCATAAAATGGAAATCCATTCATAAATAGGCTGTTTACATTTACAGAAGACAGTCCACTTACGATCCCAAATACAAGTCAAAGACAATGGCCTGAGCCCCAAAACCATATTTTGATTCTGCATTAATAGGAAAGTCACCCCCAAATCAACTAACTAAACACACATATTTGGCAATCATGTATATCCAACATTCTGCCTTATTTTTTTCCCAAGACCTTCTGCTATTTCACTCAACAGTTCTAGTAATTTCACCACTGATCTCCAACCCCATGACAATGGTCAACTTGCACTGTAATTTCTTCTTACTAATTGCAGGGGGAAATCACTTAAAACCTCTGGGAAATTCAGCAGCAAAAGTTAATTATGATAGGCAGCCACCAGCTAGGCTGAACTTCCTGACATATGACTATCTACTTGAGATCTCAGCCCTTCTATGCAGGCCTTCCCTCTTTAGCCCAGCTCCAGGAAAACAAAGGTAAGGTGCTTTGGGTCTTCCTGTCCAAAGCCCAGTATTGCAGAACTGCAAATCCATATACACAATGGATAGCAGTATAATTATGTAGTCAGTATAAACATGTAGGTTTAATGGGAAATTTCTTCTAAAACCAAACCTATAGCTATAGAAGAGGCTTATTAGGAAGTGGCAGTCTTCTATTTATCCTTAATGTTCTGTAAAACTGAGAAAAAGTTGCCATAGCACAGTAAGGTAGGAGAAAAGGCATACTGTTGTTTTGCCAATCAAGAATGCTCCATCTATGATTCAATGTATCAAGCCAACAAATCAATTTTTTTTTTAAGACTAAATCCACTTTCCTAATGACTTTTGGAATTATAAAGAGGCAGTCTGGCTTTTACCATTTTTGTATGCAAATGTGATTATATGGAAGAGGTTCTTCAGGGGGGAAAAAGCTGGATTTCATTTATTTATTTCTCAGTGTGGAATCAATTTTTAGATGCTTTAGGGACACTGTGATGCCGTACCAAAACTAGGGGTATGTCACACTTTTCTACTACTATCTCACTCTTCCACATTGTTCCTAATGTGTCCAAGCTTACTAAGCAGCAATAGTGCCCAATTTTCTTCCTTTTGGCTTTATCGTGCAATCACATACACTGAGCTCTGGGCACCACTTCATTTCCTGAAAATGCCTCTGGAGCCATATGGGGCCCAAACAAGAAATGCTGAATATGCCTCAACTGGCTGGGGAAGAGAACTTTAAAAGTAATAAGAAAAATGTTTGGGGTATCTATGGACACAATCTTAAAAAAGATTAAAGGTATCTTTTTTTCCATTGACCCACCCAACTCTCATTTTTAGAAGGTGATGTATTTCAATGTTTTCTACATCAGCATAATAAATATCAAAATATGCTATGTTATCGTGCTGTAACAACCCAGAGTCCTAGAGCCACATTAGCAGCCAAAAGTGCACTGCCAGCAAGTAAAATTAAGAAGCCAAGAAGCTCCCTGTTTTGTTTTTCAACAATAAATGTGCTAGCAGTAGCTTCTAAGAAAGAATTCAGTATCCATTGACCATCCAAAGCAAAGCAGGGAATTGCATTAATAACAGCCAGTGCTCCAGAGAGTGAAATCAGATATCTATTTAAAATTGTTAAGGTGCACGGTCATAGTCATCTTTTAAAAACATGTATACATTTTATAAGTTTAGCACTTTGGAAACATAACAATTTAACTGAACTAATATTAATTGTATTCATTCTCTCTCATTCTTTATCAATAGCAAAAAACAAAATTAATAGGGTCCTAGTTGTAAAATGTATTTGTATGTTTTTTATGCAAGAGAAGGGAAGAGATTTTATACCCTTTCCCAACATGTTTTTTCTTTATGTAAAGTTTAGACAATACCATAATATTTTCCCCCTACAAGCGGTCGTAAAAACTAGTTTGCAATTAGTCCACAGAGTTGTTGGGAATCGAGCAGTATACATATTAAATAAATAAATAAATAAAATGTCTGCATATGTTTTATTCTTAAAAAAGAAATCAAAATATTCTTCTAACTTGGAAATGGAAACAATGAAATCAAAATCTACATTGCAGCTGAACTTCTAAGTCCACTCCACAATTATGATAATCAGAAACACAACAGCCATTTTTATAATTCACAGCAATAGCTGCGTGCTATTGTAACTTAATTTGAATAATATAAATTGCAAATAATGATGAAACAGGTGGAGAAAGAGAGAGAGAGAGAGAGAATGAATTCCCAGCTACTATGTAGAATTGCCCTTAAAGATTGCTGTACAGATAGTCCTAGTTTAGCGACCACAATTGGGGCCAGCAACTATGTTATTATGTGAAGCTGTTGCTAAGTGAAACTGTGACTGTGCTTATGATCTTATTTCAGCTTTCCTTTGCTTTACAGACCTGTGAAAGTCGTAAATGCAAGGATTGGTCACAAACTTAGTTTTTCATCATGACTGCAAACAGTCACTAAACAAGGCAGTCGCTAAACAAGGACTACCTGTACTTGCAGTGCCCTGTAGGCTTAAAGATGTGAAAAACTGGAGAGGAAAAGTTAAGAAAAAAAGCTTTCTCTTGCAAATGGTGAGAGAACAGATTTTTTTTCCTGCAATTTTCCAGTTCTCCCCCTCTTCACTTCATTATACTAGTATATCAACCATAGGTGTAGTTTTTCCATAATGGAACTCCTTTTCACTACATAACTACAAAGGCTTACCAAAGTAATTGAAGAGTCATGACAAGCAATCACAGGTATTGATTCTATTCTTATTGAATGCAAGGCTGGTCTCCACTAATCATGTGGCTATCTAATATTACAGAGGCCTGACAGGATGGGGCAAGGAATCCTTTACGAGTTCCCCACTTTTTGTCCTGGTGCCTAGTGCAGGAGTGGTGCAGATCTAGTGACCAGGGTGATGTTACTCTAAACCATATGGTTTCTGTCTCCTTTTCCAGGTCTTCACAGGAAGGTATATATCTTGTTTTAAATGACTGAGTGAAGATCATGCTTCCGTTGCTATATTGACTGTCCCACTACCGACAGAATCCCTGATTCAGCTGACTAAGTGGCCTTGGATATGCTATAGGAAACCCCAAAGTGCTTGGTATTGGGAGATTTCAACATTCAAGCTTGACAGGTACAGCTCACTTCCATAATCTTTACCCAGAAAGTTTTGAAACCTAGTCATGAGACAAGCTGCATGCTTAATCTGTTTCTTGTCATAAAAGGAAATCATTGGTAGCTAGCATTCCAGACAGCAAATTGTTTTTTCCAACAAAAATAGGCTGCTCCGCCACCTCCCATGTATAAGGCCATCCAGAGTTGTTATGGAGTTAGGCAGCCTTATACATTTAATAAATAGATTCATTTATCCAGGCTTCTTAAAGATTTAATGCTAACACTTTAATTTGTGACTTTATCTGTTTATGCTTTTACGGACATTTTTACTGTATCTTTGTAAGCCATTAAAGAAATGGACAATATATAATTTTAAATATATACATAAAGCATGCAGAAAATATTGGCTACTCTTTACTTTCACCTTTTGCTGCAGCTGGGTTGTTTAAATCAAAGTCTTTCAGCATAGTTGATAGCTTCCAGCCCTTAAATAGGCAAAATACACAAAATAAGCTAGAAGAGGCTGTTCAAAAAAATAAAAATCAAATGGCTGTGGTCCTTGGACATTGTTACATGCATGACAGATACTCCCAAGGTCTTATCTCTAAAAGTCCACACAAATATGAAAGGATACTTGCAAAATGTTTCCATTATCACAGGCAGGTCCAAAGTTAGAAAGCTGTATCGAGGTATGAAACTGCTGAGGCTCACTTAAACAAAGAAAGAATTTCTAAGTTTGTTACAAAAGCAAAGAGCATTTCAACACAAGTCATATCTAAATCTCTGTTCACAGCAAATACAACTTTTGTTTCATTTCCCCATAACGTATGGCAACATTGCTTCAATAACTATGCAACATTCATAATGGTCTACATTTTGTGAAAACGGTAGGTCTAACACATGATGTATTTATTGTTGTTTTACAATCAAGTATCTATAGACAGATAATAGACATGAAGCTAATGTTTGCATCTGAACATCACAAATTATTTTAGTAGAAGAAAGGCAAAGATAGCAGCAAACAGGAAAATATTCCATATGAACTGCCTATAACAATCATGTCCCTAAATATGTTGTGCTTACATAAAATGGTGAACAAATAAAAGGAAATCATTATCTTTATAGCTAAATATTGAAAAAAGTATTATCTCTGTTGAGATTTGTTTTTAAGCACAGAGACATGATGTCAGTGGTTTAAAGCTGAAAATGTAACCTTTAGGAAATTCAAGGAAGTCTATATACAGTTTATATTGCACTAATATATTTCCTGACAAAATTAGGGCTCACTTTCTTAAGACAAATTTCTATCAAAATACTGAAATAACAGTATATGACAGAAGTAACTTAAGCATGGATAACCCATAAAAGCTAAACAGAAGTGTAATATGAAAAAATTTATTAGAATGTCTTGTAGCAATATTTTCATATTCCTGAGCTATCTTCCCCAAATTTTCCTGCTTCTGTTAAGATCCAATGATCAATGTACATACACACTTATAAAATAGATTATATTTCACACTGTTTATGAAGCACGTGCCTACAGAATAAGCTTCATAATAAGCATTCAAGCTTTTTTTGTACTGCTGAAGTACATATATTTATTTTGCATACATGGCCAAATACATATATGTACATAATCTAAGTGAAAATATATAAGTTTGATTACTGAGGAAACAGGCTAGAGTCATTCACACTCAGTAAAAGACTATGAAATGTCTCATAAACTTTAGCACTGAAAGAAATAAATGAGCTAAAGCTAAATCAGCCAACTGCATCATATATATTATGAATTTACATGCTCAAATTGTGTTAGCATTTTCCTCAAATCATACATACCTGTATACTGGAGATGCAATGGATGACCAACAAACAGCATATCAATTTGAGGAGGATGCTTCACCCTTATGAGTCTGGTTTGATTTTCCAAGGAAGGCGTCACACACGTACTTGGAATAAAATCCTTTGGGCAATCTTTGTTAGTTTGGCAGAGCTGGCTGGCCTCAATAGTTTTCCGTGCTGGCAAACAAGCATACTGGATCTGAAAATTTAAATAAACATTAAATGTAGGCCACTGAGAAACATTCACTTTATATGGGCCTTAACAAGCTAGATGGAAGACAGGAAAACTACATTCTAGTTATTTTAATATGGTTTACATATTCATTACCACTTGCTCAGAATGAGACTTCTACAATCTATACAAGATTGAAACTTCCACAGTTTCCAGGCAGTATCTCAAAAGTATTATGGTCAAAACTGCAACTATATGCTATAGACTCATAGGTTTATATTCCAAGTGGCAGAACAATTAAATAACTTACCTGATTAAGCAAAGGAACATTAGGGAAGGATGAGAGAAAAAGTCCAGCTGAAAGAGGTTGGGAAACAAAGAACTTTTGGCCCAGTAGACAGGTGACTGTTTTGATAGATCACTGGAAAGGTAAAAAGCGTTGGGTTCTTGAAGCTTGCTGAGCTTGGTTGTTTTCTTGCAGACATTCCTTTACCAGGTAACATCACCAAGTGAATGGGAGAGTGGAGTTTGCTGGCTGCTAGTCTCTCTTCCTTGATGGTTTCTTTATTATGGTATTGTTTCTTCCTGGACTGTTTGTGGGGTGCTGTACTCTGCTTATTAGGATGTTGACTGCTAGTGAGGATGTGCTCTGAGCTGTTTGCTTCTTCCTTGACTTTTGATTATATCTTTTACATGGTATAAATGGAGTTTCTGTCTGTTGATGGCTGATATGTCTGAATGCCAAGCATCTAGGCATTCCCTCATGTTTTTTTTTTTTATTTAGTTTGATGTAGAATATCAAGTTTCCCAGTTGAAATTGTAGTTGAATTTGTCTGTGTGTTGAGGGATAAATGAATTTTCATCATGTCTTCTGATTGCCAGGTGATGTTTATGGATGCATTCTGCCAGTCTTTTACATGTCTATGAAGCATAGTGCTTACACTGTATGTTGTAGATAGCCCCTGCTTTTGTTTTTTTTGGTTTTTTTTCAGTATCTGGGTCTTTAGGTTGTTTAAGATGTTTTGGAGGGATTTTGTTAGTTTATGTGCTACAGTGATGCTGAGAGGTTGTAGTTGACTTTTGGTTGTCCCAGATATGTTTTTGATGTACAGAGAGTGATTCTTTTCATAGGTTGTTACAGTTTTGTTGTAATAGGTTGTGTAGCCAAGCACTTTTTAATGAAGTTGTGTGGGTACTTGTGTTAAAAGTTGCTGTACACATAATCTGTTTCCTCTTTTCAAGCTTCCAGATTCTGCAGCATGTGTTTGCTCATCTTATGCAGCTCCTCTTAAGGGCAATGCTGCTTTGGTAGTGAACACTGTAGGTTGCTTTTCAATAAACCTGCCTTTGTGGTCTTTACTACTTCCTCTCTTGAGGAGGATATCCAGGAAGGGTAGTTTGTTGATGTTTACTTCTGTTGTAAATTTTATTCCTTTAAAGATGTTGTTGATTGTCTCATGTGTCTTCTCTAACTGTCCTTTTTTATTATGATAAAAGCGTCATCTACAGAATGGATCCGTATTTGGGTTGTACGTGTGGGAGTACTATTGCTTCTAGGTGCTGCATCACAGTCTCACCTATGAATTCTGAGATGGGGGATCCCATGGGTGTTACCTCTGATTTGTCTGTATATTGTTGAACTGGAAGAGATGATGCAAAGGTCAGTAAGTTCCATGAGCCTGGGTATTTCAATTACTCTGTTCTCTGTAGAGTTTGGTGTGTTGTATAGTAGTGCTGCAACAGATTCCTTTGCTAGTTCTGGATCTATGGATGTGAAGAGTGCCAAGACCAAACAAAACCATAATTTCCTCTTTTTTTAATAGTTAGGTCCTGAAGGCACTGAAATGGTGAATTGATATTCATTCCCATCTATGAGGCATCCAATTTTTTTTGTGAGTTCTTTGGCTAAATTGTGTGTTGGGGTCCCTAGTAGTTATATAATTGGGCAAAGTGGTATATCTGTGTATTTTAGAGGATCCATAAAAGCATGGGACAACAGGTCCACAGCTTTTCATCCGCCATTGTTCTAGCAGCCAACACGCAGATAAGCAGGGAACAGCACCAGATAAATAATCAAGAAAAAAATAATATCCCAATCAACAAACCATCAAGGAAAAAAAGCCCACCCTACCAAAATGGTAGGGCAAACCTGTATAATAGATGATGTTACCTAGACTGGCAATGAAACATCTACAAGAAAACAACCAAGTTCAGCAAACACCAAGAACCTAACAGTTCAATCCTAAGCAACATATATTCTCTCTATTGGAAGTAAAGAAGAGTGTTTTTTTTTTAAACTAACATTCCATTTCAGTGCAATAATGTTTTCAACACTTATTTAAAAAATCCAATGAAGCAATTTAGTCTTGATCTATATTTACTATCAAATATTATTTATTGGGACATCCCTGTTATATCTGCCAAGCTTAAAATTTGAGAAAAGTCAGCTAGAGCATTCAAGTGCGAGAAAGTGTTTTCAAACAAAAAATATGCACATCCATTTTTGATAGGACAATTCATTTAACATCATTATTTCAATTTCTGAGATACAATAATTCTGCCATAAGAGCAGTTTGTATACCACTGAATTCATAAACATGAAAGCTATATCTCAAGTACAACTTATGTTATATAGTATTCCAGATATATAGATCAGTACTTTCCTCATCTATTAATATAAAAAACTTACCAGGTGGCTGTTCAGATTATTACTGTATGAAAAGCAGACGTCTGTGAGGCTATTGTTGCTGCAACATTCAACAGTGCCATCAAGTCTTTTAAAGCCTGAGGAGAAATGCAACTTATAATTATATTTTCAGATATCATAGATCCACTGATCTCTAATTGCATATGTAGCATGAAACAACCATCACCACTCCCTGCAGAGCATATGTACGTGTGTGTGTAGAAGCCACAGTTCCAATGATAGTCAGAAATAGCTAAAAGTAGCCATCAGTATCTACAGGATGACATTATCTCCCATTCATCTTTATAAAGATATTTTGACTCAAAAGAATAATGTCTAGGACTATACTAAAATCAATTCTGGGGGTGGACTACTAAGGAATTTGCATGAGACTCATTTAAAACAGACTAGTTTGGGCTGCATTGACACTCCAGAGCTTCTTTCAAGTCTCTATGACAAATAATGGATGTGTTCTGAGATTTATGCTGTCCTTATATGTCCCGGCAGTGCTGTGGGGAAAGCCAAGCCAAACCCTCCAAATTAATCAGCTCAGATTCTGCTCCAGAGGAAACCCTGCAAAACTGTTATGATAGTGCTTCCTCTGGAGTTACAGGTAGAGTGGCTGCCCCCTGCTGAAAACTCCTGCTTCATCCCACACTCCCTTTGGGATTCCTCTTCTTCCTCCATGGACTGATGACCAGTTGGTACCTTAGCTTATTCTTTCCCCACACAGTGTTTCCTAGCAAAGCATTGGCCAGCTTGCTTTTCTTTCTCCCTCTCTTTCCACAAATATGAATGCTGGGAAGTAAAACGCAGGGAAGGGGAAGTGTTGGCTGATTTACATTTTTGGCAATCTCCCACTGGCTGGCTGGAAGGAACACTGGCCAACTCAAGCAAGCAGTCTTTAGGAATACTCAGTTGGCAGCTGCTGTGTGTTTGGGTGATGAAGCTAAAAGCACAGATTAACTTACTGGGAAAGGGGCTACCTAGGAGGCTAGAACATAGGAATAGCCCTGCAAGCTCATAACATTATTTTGTATTAGCAGGCTGTAGATGTTAAGAGGACAGAAGGAGATACATCTTCCCCACTTGCCAAGGAGGCACTGCTTTTTAAACTACCATAGTGAAGCCAACAGATTGTGCTGCAGCAAGTAAACTAAATCCACAAAGCTTGACAATTCAGCTGCTAAGTGTAAGTATACATCTCGTCCCAGGCAAAGCAAATATGTTCAAATTATAATCAACTATATAGATAACCAATAATCATTCTGAACCAATAGTCATCTGATTAAGAGGTAGACAATCTAGTAATTGATTTAACATTTAAATTAAAACATGTAGTTTTCAAAACAATTGATATATGATTACACTAGGCCCTGCTTTGGAAGAGGCATTCTCTTCCCAAATGAGAATATTCTTTAAGACAGTGTATTAACAATGGTTATTTTTTTTAAATCTGGCAAAGGTAAAGCAGGTGATTCTTCAGTTATGTAAAAACAACCCTTAATATATCATAAAGGTATGATTAGACCCAATGTAGAAAGAACTGCACCTCTAGTTGGGAAGCTTAACTGCTGTAGTATTGATGTTTTTATGCAATAGCCTGTTTGTGGCTTCTGATAGATTTTTCCCAAACAGGCATTCCAGTCTTCCACACTATGAACTGAGCAATCTTGCAGACTAGTGACAAGGTCACCAACAAAAAGGCCTCTAGGCCCATTAGCAGGAGAATCCTAAAAAAGAGAGGAGAACAAAATGTTCATAGATTCTGGACTGAAGACAGCCTAGTTTTGTTTTGTTGGCCACATTTTCATATACAGTAGTTTAATCATGATCTGAAGAGGAATGAGCCAAGCAAACTCCATTTTCAACCAATCAGGGAGGTATGGAAAAAATTCAATGCTTTTTCTTCTGATTATTCTGGCCATCCAGACTGATAAACAGTGATCAGCATTAACTAAAACAGTATCAATAACCACTTCAATACTAATAACGTATTCCTGATGCAAATGCCATTATCTCAGTACCAAATGTTTCTCATGTGCAGCATTTTCCCATTTTAATAGAATGAGTTTACACTTAAACTTGATTAATAGGTTGTATTCATACACAGACCTGATTATATTTCATTATATCACATATAATTGAGATTTATTTCATACACATCACTATTAATACCATACATAGTCTTAGCACAGAGATGCGATGGCAGTAATAAACTGAATTAATGTGAAAAAGAACTTCAGTTATTTTATTTTATATCCTGTTTTTCCACTTCAAAGAGTATTCAGTGTAGAACAAAAATCAAAAAAGCAAATTTAATTAAAATTAAAATTTAATTTTTTTTAATTAAAGCAAAAAAGCAAACAAATTATACCTACATATATGAGTTTCCAAAGTTACAGCAAAGTTGAGAATGCCTCCTCAATTTTAGGCAAAGATTACTTCAAATTAAATAACTAATGTGGAAAACCAACACAATTACCGTA